TGACGCAACGCCTGGCCCTGATCATCGAGGAGTGGCAGTGCCAGGTGTAGGAGCAGCCGATTCCATGTCCCTCACTAGAGGTCTCTTGGGATCCCCATTGGCTTCGTGGCGCTGCTCCGCAGACTCTTCGAGCTTCGCAGCAGCATCCTTGAAATCGGCATGCCTTTGCGACTGTCCTACCGGTCCAGCCAAATCCGTCGCGGAGACATCTTCCATCAAGCTGTGCGTGCGCGTCCTTCTCTGCTGGGCTCCGTTGCTTCGCTCCGGTAGCGCCGTCGACCTCTTCTGAGGACTTTGAGACGCAGACGGCGTCATGGCTGGCGCACCCGATAGTCTCTGCAAGTCGCTCGACGACCTGTTCCTCTTCTCTGCAAACGTCTCCGCAGCACCGCTGCTCGCTCGAGAGCGCGTGCGGGCTCGCGGGCTCTTGGGACTCTTTGGATCGTCACTGCGCGTGCCGCTCAAAATGCTAAAGATGGCCTCGTAATCGCCCTCTTCCGACTCCTCTTCCGTTGCACTGCTGTACACGTCCTCGCCATCGCTCAGCGCTTCTTCCACCACCTCATCACCCTCCTTGAAAAACTCGGCGCCAGAAAGAGCACGCGTCGTTCGGCTCGCCCGACGAGAGGAGCCCGACCAGCCGAACAGACGCTCGTCCACCCACGAAAGAGGGTGTGCCAAGGCGCTCGTACCATCCAAGCGCTTGTCAGTAGTCTTTTGCTTCCAAAGCAAAGCGTTTGCTCGATCCGGCGTGGTGCTAGGCGGAGCATTGGCAGTAGGAGGGGAGATGATGCGTCGCTCCGTGAAATCGTCCCACACCTGCGGTGCCAGCTTGTCGATGACTTCGTGCAACTCTGCAGAGATTTTCGATCTCGTGGCTTGAAGCTCCAGGATGGCCTTCTGATTGCCGGGAAGCAGCGAGACAAAAAGAGGAGGCAAGGATTTGTAGATATCGATGCCGACTTCGCTGAACTTTAGAGTGCTATACGCCAGCATTGGCATGCCTCCAAGAACGTACAGAGGCGTGCGTCGAAGATGAGATGGCGAGACGCCGTTTCGGTAGGCGACGTAAGTGGCGACTCCGGCGTAGAAGCAGTACAGGACAGGCGTAATGCCCATGCTGACTAGGACTTTCCAGGTAGCAAGAACGTCGCGACCCATCAATTTCACCTGAGAGGCAGCTAAAGCCTCTTTTGCCTTGCGCGCTGAAATGATCTTGGCAAGAATGATGATGGGTGCATTGAGGACAACTCCTGGAAGCGCCAGGCCGCCCCAGAGCCCTAGGAGCCCAAGTCTGTAGAAGAATAGCCCCAAGGATCTCCATCCGGCCCGCGTTGCTCGCTCCACTTGATGATCTTTCAAGCCGGCATATGCGAGCATTTTGTTATATCTGAGGACGTTTGCTTTGAGTTGTTGAATACGAGGATCGTCCTTGAACTTCAAGTACCCCACAATCATCCTGCGGTTGATTTCTACTACTTGAGACAGCGAGGGATGCACACCCGGTGGGGTGTACAGGCGCCGGCCGGCCTGGATGAACATGAGCGTCTCGTAGTCTGGCGCTCGAAGCGTTACCGACTTCAATCCATCGAAAACAATGTCCATCATCGAAGCGACGGCTTCGCGCTTGCCGTCCCCGCCTTTCTCAAACTGCCCGACCAGCTCTCTTGGCACGTCGAGAGGCGTACCGAATTCTACCACTGCTCTGGAGCGGAACTTGTGCGGGTGGAAGTAAGAGAGACCGACGGGGACGATGCGGACTTTAAGACCAGGATTCGCAGCCATGGCGCCGAGCGCCATGATGACCACACCAGCCTTGAGAGGCAGCAGGTCTGTGCGATCGTGTGAGCCGCCTGATTGGAGGAGCGGCCAAACCAGTCAGCCCTGCATGCATATAGTCTGGCTGCTGAAGAAGGCTACGCTTACCTTCTGGGAAGATGCCTAACGAGCCTCCGTCCGCCAGGCGCTCGTAGACGCTTGAATACATTTGCGTCTGATCGACATACGGCAAGCACTTGTACTCGCAACCTTGCTGCTCTTCTTCCCTCGCCTTTGCGCCCTTGCCGATTTTGACCATCGACTTCCCTCGTAGCGACTCGAGCGCCTTTGCCTCTTTGAATTCCTTCTTAATCCTAAGCTCTGTGTCAGAGATGACCTCAACCACCTCAGCAGTCGCATAATTGGTAGATTTGGGCAGCATGATTTGGCTCTTGCCTTTGAGCTGCTTTGTGAATTCGGAGCCATGTCCTTGGATGAGGGTGGCGTCACCCGAGGAATGCGCACTGATCGTGCCTTTGCCAACCTTCGCCGAGTCTGCTGCGCGGGCCACGGGGACTGCAGGACGCAGGACGCAGAGTGGAAAAGAGGGTTAGCGAGCGCCCAGCTGACCTGGCATGCGTGAATGACATGATGCTCACTGCTTTGCATCACTCGAGCAGCAGCCCCAATGAATTGTCTCTTGATGGACTTTTCGGCAATCAAGAACGCAACACGACGGCCTGAGCCTCTTCGCACCTCGGAAGCCAAGAGCAACGGATCCAGGAACTGCGCCAAGACGAAGAGGTGTGAGAGGGGTGCGTCTCTTTTCCCTGTCGAGCCGCTTTGATTACGTACCTGATTGTGGTGAGGAGCTGCCACAAAGATGACTGGACCTTCGTTTGGCCTAGGAATCTTCCAAGCCCCGCGCGGCTGTATGCTCCTGAAGAAGACATTGATAACTATCCTCCAGAACAGCAAAGCAATGTCGAATGCCTGTCGCAAACCCATTGAGATGGTTGACGTGTCAGATTCATCAGATTGGGATCACAGGGAAAAGGGTAGCGTCTCGTCCCTAAAAGTGTAGATCAACCGACGGGCCCCATGAGCCCTTCATCGCTACTCACTATATTGGTAGCCATGATGCCCTGCGAAGCAAGGATTCGGGCAGCAGCTCTGGCTACCAAGCGCGGTACGAGCCGATGAAAGGGTAAAGGGAGTCCGCTCAAGAAAGCGTGCAAGTCCCTAATTGATCTCTGTACTCTCTGACTATCTCCTCTTCGCATCCATCGAGCAGCAGCTGCAGCGTTGGCGCTGGAAGAAGCTCGTAATAGCGATGAGTTCGGCTGAACGGATAACGGAGGCAGCGGCTCGGCTGGATTGGTCGAGGGAGACTTGGATCGTCGGCTTGATGGTGTGGACGACGGCATATAGAACGAACAAGGATGAGCTATCGCTCTGGTTCTGGACAACAGGCCGCGGGTCCTTGCTTGTGGTCGCCTATGAGCGCTTTAGCGTGACAGCCGAGAGGTGGGCTTGCAGTTGCGCACGTTTTGCCGACTCCCGACGGGCATGAGAAGGGGCGCAAGTGAAGCTAGTGCTGGCGTTCGCGTAGGTGTGCTTGGAGGAGACGTTTGCTCCTGCTTTGGATGATTGACGGTGTGCGACAGCGTCGGGTTGCTTGCTGAGGGGTGTGTGTAACAAGTACGATCTTCCTGCCCCGTTCGTGATTGAACAAACGCTTTGTCTATCCTGGCGAGACTTGCGACCACAACAGTCACGTAGTCTCGTACACTCGATTGTGCAGTGTAGGAGCGGAGCGCAGAGCCGAGAGAGCCTGTACAGTACTACTGCACTGCAGAGCAGGTGTGGATGGTGCAGGGTCCGCGCACGCTCTTGGCGAGTCACAGTATAGTCACGAATGTGCTTCCGCAAGCGCAAGGAACGCCACTCAGCTCGCAGGTGGGTCGTGCATGCAAAGGTCTACTGTACTCTATAGTCGAGTGCGGTATGTGGCTACTACTCCGTAGCTGCAGCGCCGAGCAAAGCAACAACGGGTTAGTGACACGACAGCGAGAGGGTGCAGGCGCGAAGGCGAGTGGGAGGTGCAAGCTTTAGCGCCGCCGCTTTGATCGCTGCATACAGTACATGTACCAGCATAGCTTGAGCTTTAATTTGTCGACGTGCAGCGCTGCCGCCGAGGCGCCCTCGTCTTGCGGGCGAGAGTGCCTGGTGGGAAGTTTGGGGCATTCTGCATACATACTTACTTCTCGTGTCTAATATGTGGTCACAAAGTGGAATACACATTGTTATCACGACTGTGCTCGCGACTGGCGATCGTGCCAGCAGACGCGCTTCGTGACAATCCACGCTTGAGTCGGAGTGAGCCTCGATCGATCCACGCCAGACATGTACACGTACGCGGTCAGTCATCACAGCGGCGAATCAGACGGATCTCAGCTGCGCGCGGCGTGATCTCGATCAAACGCCTTATTCATTCGAGATTGATCCACTCACGTCTCATTCACGATTCGTGATTCTACATACTGTACACCGAACGCATAGCAAGCAGCGGGCCGTGCAGGCCGTGCAGCACGCGTCCGGCGCGGAAAGTTGGGGCAACGAGAGGCTGCCCGCGCGTTTCAACTCTTGGCTCTGACCTTTGGAGGGTCACTAGGTCACGTGTTGTAAATCAGCTCGGTCGCTCGCACGAGAAAGGGGACAGACGGTGCGCGACGCGTTTGCGAAATTGGCGCGTCGCGCAGACACAGCGAGCCTCTGGACTCGGACTGCATGGCGCAAGGCGGGCGGATGGATGATCGCGAGACGTGACTGAGGACTGTGCTGGCTGCTGATGCGCGCGCTTCCTTTGTCATGCGGCGCGTGCGCGCGTGTGCATTGGGTCGCTCCCCTGGACCAACCAACACCTCATTCACCATTGTGATCGTGATCCGCATCGACAACACACACCACCTCGAACTTAGCTTCCCAGACGATCAGCTCTCCTTGCGCACATTGCGGCTAGACTATCAGCATAGAAGCTTTGAACTACATCCCCTGTCGACAATCACCATTTGACCAGCCCGGAGTCGCCTTCCCTAAACCTCTCCTCTCCGTCAGTTGACCGCTGTTTCCTCCAGGCCTGAAGACAATGTCGGTGATCCACCTCCAAAACGTTCAGGTCCTGAACCCCAAAGGATCCTTCTCTGGTAAGTGTTCGGCAATCATTTGCATTGCTCTCGAGTCACCTCACGTCTCACTCCATCTTGCAACGACCACGCGCTCGCCACCCGACTGTACAGATCCTTACATTTTCAAGGTCACTTTCGAGTGCATCTCGCCACTTGAGGACGATATCGAGTGGAGGTTGATCTACGTCGGATCGGCCGAGAGCGCTAGCTACGATCAAGAGCTGGACAATTGCATGGTCGGGCCTGTTCCGGTTGGTGAGTGGTAGAGGTCATGACGCTTGAGGAGCTGTCGCGCGTGTTGAAGGAGTGTTGCGTCTAGCAGCAAGCACGAGTCGCCTTTGGCTCAAAAAGTCCTCATGTGCTTCTTCATGCTCAAGACTTACATCGCTCCGGCTGTTCTTTCTCAGGCGTCAACTCGTTCGAGTTCGAAGCGGACGCTCCTCATCCCGACAAGATTCCTACGCAAGATTTGCTTGGCGTGACAGTCATCCTCCTGACCGGAAGCTATCGCGATGCAGAGTTCATTCGTGTCGGTTACTACGTCAACAATTTTTACGAAGACCCAGCCTTGCAAGAGAATCCTCCTGAGCAGGTAGATCTCTCCATCGTCAAGAGGGAAGTCTTGGCAGAGAAGCCTAGAGTCACTCGTTTCAATGTCAAGTGGTGAGCATGCCAGTCTCATGCTCTGCTAAACGGTCGCTTCAGCTATCTCACTGGCTTCGAACCATTTTCCCACTCTGTCCCTGTCAGGGACGCGGACTCCAAGCCAGCAACACTGCCATCCACCTCAAACGCCATGGACACCGACGACTCATCTCAGGCTATTGTGCCTCCACCTGCAGGCGGCTCCTCCTCGTCAGGATTCGGTTCCCAAGCTTCGGGACAATACAATGGCAGCGACGGGCAAAGCGTAGGAAGCAGGAGCGCTTTTGCCCCCGTGGCTGTACAGTGATCGATTTGGCTGGTCAGCCCTAATCCCGGCTCTAGCAGCAGAACAGTACCGCATGTTGCCCCTTGGAGGTGCATCAGCCCCACCCAACCCATCAGCGTTTCTCGTCTCGTTGATTGTAATCGTATTTCTTCTTGTGCAAAAAAAGTATCGAGCGGAGCTGCGCAGGCTTTGCAGCAGCGCTGGCACGCTCGTTCAGCGTCGAAGAAGATTTCGCATGGATGCCGCATTTTCGCTGGCTCCATAGGAGAGTTGCGTTGAGGTGAACAGAGTTCTCAAGGCACAAGCGCGCAGTTCTCTAGATTGTGCAGCGAAGTGAGATGTCTCTGGCGCCCGACCGCGTCGTACTCTCCTATGCTAGACTCGACTGAGTCTCGGCGCACAAGGCACTTGCGAAGGAACTTCACGACGATTACGAGCGGCGTGGGTATGTCATATTTGAGCGACGGGAAAGTAAAGGAGCACTGCGAGGATCGACACTGAAACGGCGCTTGGTGACGTAAGTGAGTGTAGGTGCCCACAAGAGAGCAAAAAAGATCTATGGCAGAGGGGGCGTCGGGAGAAGCAGATGGGACGCAAGACGAGAGCAGACATCGGCGAGTCGCGACGCTGAGGGTGAAGCTGTCGTTGTTAGACTGCAGACACCAATACGGCGGAGCGGATCCTGCGTCATCTGCGTGCAGTGTGGAAGCTGTCCAGGGCTCGCCTGGAGAAGCGGTACAAGGATCCTGATCAGCATTGCATGCATCGATGGTTTGAAAGGCACGTCACACTCACATCCACGCGGATAAGTCTTGATCTGAAGGTGCTTGCAAGAAATAGGAATTCGCGGCAGTGTAGAGCCCGAATACGTTTTCGCGCTGCGTTCCGAGCGGCGAAGGAGCACGAGAGACGACTTGGACGTGAGCGCCGGTGATTGATGAAGCCTTGGATCTGATGTGACTCACCATTAACATGCGCTCAATGTTCTCGTCGTGCTCCACGCGCACGGAGCCTAGATGCATCGCCATGAGCTCATCCAGCTCCGCGCTGTTCTCGTAGACGTACAGATACGGCCTGTGAGAACATGAGACGCGTTGAGCTATACAGAAACGAGACAAGCATCGTCGCACTCTAAAGATGCTACTGACCGTCGCAAGACAAACCATCTTCTAATCCATCGATCAGAGTGAGGCTCAGCAGGAAGAGCCAGCCAGCCTCGCTTGGCTGCAGAATCCGTGCGAGGCACGAGTGAGACTTCTGCGATGAGCTTGGACGGGGTTGCGGGTGAAGAATGAGGAGCTGGTGTCTTGACAGAAATGGACGCAGCAGCCTTTGCTTCGGCCTCATCGGCGGCTTCTTCAGCAGCCTCTTCAGATTCCTGAGCGAGAACAGACTACGGGTCCGGACAGCAAGTCAGCTTGTTGTCCTTGCCATTTCTCTTACTGCAGCACTCACCAGCTGTGCATCTCGTCGCGCTGCTTGCCAGTAGGTGACTGCGCGCTGGAGCAGACCCTCGTGATCGCCCCCTGCATTGTTGCTACCATTCGACATTGATAGTGGCGGTGCCGACTCGAGCAGCCTACGCACGCCTTCCACTTCCGCTCTTCGTCTTTCAAGTCGAACCATGCGAGCGTGATCGTGCACCAAGCTGACGCCACGAGGCTTCCACTTGCCCTGTAGCGCTTCCTCGCCCCTCACGTACTTTGCGGCAGTGTCGAGCCTCCACAATTCCTTGGTGCGCTTTTCCAAGGGTGGCACAAGCCGTACAGCGAACAGCGCGCTCGTCTTCGTCAAGACTCTAGCACCCGTCGTGGCAGCTCCGATGAGGCTCATAAGCTTGCCTTGCGGCTTAGAATCTCTGCCACCTATCGACACCGCGATGTCCATGCTGAACTGAGCAGGTGCGGTGCACATCTCCACATCCAAAGTGAAGCTGAAGCGCAGCAGAACTCTTTGGCCGCTTGGCGTTGGTCTATTTAAGAAAATAGAGTCATGTACGCTGCTATCCCACCAGGCCCACATGGACAGCTCGCTTGTCCCGTTGGGTCTAAAGTCGACTTGCTGCTGTTTCGTCGGGACTTTGAGGTGCACTGGCTCCCCGAGGGTAGAGGAATGCACCCGGCCACGAGCGTCAAGTAATCGAACCTCGCTGAGCTCAGCAGCGCGGACACCGGCCCAATTAAATTGCCGTCCAGAATCATGGGTCATGGTCAGGACTAGCTTCCGCTGGAGTCCTTGCCTTAGCGAAAAGGCTCCTGGGTCGAGCGACGATTGAGCGCGGACCTGCACTGGCACGTATTCCCCCCTGTCATCCAGTTCGCACAGTTGCACGAATGCCAAGACGTCGTGACGCTGCTCGGATATCATCTGGTTCTCTGACAAGCGTCCGGCAGCGGACGATTTGTGGAGGAGCACTGGACGTTCGAGAGAGTTGCTGTCGGCACCGAGATCACTGCCATTGAGCGTGGGAGGTGCGCGACCCGTCAATCGTTTGGCCTCCTTGGCGGCGTCGTAGTCCTCGAGCGCTGTAAGATGCTGCGATTTGACGCGGGCGTGAAATTCGATCGGTGCGAAGCCTGAGCGCATATACTCTGCAATCTCTGGTGTGATGACGAAAGTCAGAGTTCTGCGTAATTTGACGTCCGATAACGCGCTGACACCCTTCTGTCCGAGCTCGGCTGGTGCTGAAGCAAAGACTTCATCTTTGCTGACTGTCCGGCCAGCAATGCTGCTTAATCTGACTTGGACGTGCAACCGCTCAAAGTCGCTACTTGGAAGGCCGATCACACCGTCAATGGACAGCTGCAGACCAAACTTGTGACCAGCAGGTAGCTCAGAGTCATTGCCGTCCGAAGATGTTGTTGTCTCGGGCGAGGCGGTGCCGTTTGAGGTCTTGCTCTTGACTGGAGAGGCAGAGATGCTGACAAATTTGAGCTCAGCAGAGCATTGTCCGATTTCGCTGCCAGTGTGCCGCGAAAGAATCGGCAACCGATACTTCGCCGACACCTTACGAGAAAGCGGACAGAGGGGTAGCAAGGCATTGCCGATGAACATATAGGAAGGGGCTGGCACCTCATAGAAAGGATCTGCCCAATTGAAGTGTTGTGAGTATTCAGGTCTGTCGATGAAGCTGTAAAGATTCCTCATCTTGGCGAGCCGTGCTTCGAGTTTTGGCAGGGACCAAATGTATGAAGTTGAGTGCAGATGATCGATGACCCGAACCGCAACGCATGGCTTTGGAGCTTTGTGAAGCTCGGGGTCTGCAACGTCATCCAGGTCGTCTAGGCCAGCAATGGACTCAACGGAAGAGATCGGGTTGCTCAGCGGTTCGTCGTCGATGATCGTGTACTGCATGGTGGTCTTCTTGTCCAGCTCCATGCTGATCACGTTTGCCTCCTTCAGAAGTACCGCATTGGATAAGATGTCCTCTGCCATAGAGACCCTTGTATGTCCTCTCCACTTGGCGAGTACCCTGTAGAGCATAGCTTTCTCAGGCTCGGTATAAATGACGGGAATGTCCAGAGGATTGGGAGGCTCTCCACCTGCTTGGAGCAAAGTCAATTGTGCCTCGTACTCTTTGACCTTCTGCTTGAGATCGGCGTGCGCTTGAAACTCGACCGTCGCGTCGCCGTTGTCTGTTGTTCCGGCAACCGAAGCAGCGTCGCGGCTTCCAGGACCACCGCTACCCCAGGGATCGATGGAGGTGTCGTCGGTGTAGGTGCTCAGCGAGAAGGGGCGCGCCATAGATGGAGACTCGCTATTCGCATCGTCCAGCGAGCTCAGTCGACTCTCGGGCCTGCTGGGCGCGGCGAGGCTCGTGCCACGCTTATGGCGAGCTCTGGAAATGTCTTCAAAGAGCTTGTCAAGCTCCTGAGGCTCGAGATGGTCGAATGCTGCATTGTCGCCATTCAATCTCGCCAAAGCGGCCTCGCGCCTTGCATATGTCCAGTCGACGTCCCCAGCCTCATCCGCATTCGAGACAGGAGACTCTGGACGTCCAGGCGTGCCCGGATCCGTTGTCTGGTTCAGCTCGTCGCCTGTGGACATCGCCATCGTCGACTTGACCCTATCACGCGCCCTGCGGACTTCCTCGGGGTGGTTGAATCTGAAGACATGAAAGTCGCCCAGAATGACACGATAGCCTGACCTGAGACGTCTTGGCTCTCCTGGCTGCACTCGCTTGCCGTTCACCATGGTCATGCCGCCGCCAGAATTCTCTATAGTGACGACGCCACTGTCCGCAACGTTGAAAACGCAATGTTCCGCCAATATGTTCGAGCCTGACAATCGGATTGCTGGCGTATCTCCTGATGTCGACTCCCCATTAGGATCCCCTGCCCCCTCTTCAGCAGCGTCGATGTTTCCCACCTTGGTGTCGCCCGGTCTCAATTGGTAGACGAGGCATTCCGACATGAGAGGATCTTCGTTCAAATTCACCAAGTGAGGCAATTTCTTTGGCGTGTGCACGCCAACGTTGCCCTTCTCCACACTGATGCCGAGCTCTTCCAAGGCCTTTTCCCTCTCCACTTGGATCTTTTGAGTATTTCGGAGCTTGTCTTCCCAAGTCTCATTGACCGAAGCCATGAGCTTCTCCGCACTCTCCATCTGCTCTTGTAGCTCGGCTTTGGTCACAGTCTTGATCTCGCCGGTCTTGGTTTGGTAGCGCACGACCTGCTTCTCGGGTGGAACTGTGGGATCCCAAGACGACTCGCCCTCCCCACCTCCCATGCCACCCATTTGAGCACGAGTTCGGAGCATCTCCAGCTCTTCTTTGAGCTCTCGAATGAGCTTGGCGTTCGGATCTTCGTTGACTACAGCCTTGTTCTTGATCTTCTTGGCCGAGTCTGCGTATCTCAATGTGCTCAGCGTCTCTTCGTAATCTGCAGGTGAAATCGCAGCAATCATTGCAGTCTTGCTATTACCTCCCAGCGAGTCCTTTAACAGCCAAGTCAGGACTGAGTCGCGATAAGGCACGAAGTTGTCCAGCTGCTTCTTTTTGCTGCTCGGCGCTGTGCTCGCAGCTGCGAGCGCTGCAATAACCTTACCCAAAGTTGTTAATGATCTATTGATATTTGCACCTTCCTTCAGACGGCTACCTGTCGCACCCGTCGAGTTCGCTCTCTCTGATCCAGCCAAATCCACCAAGCTTTGATACATTGATTTGTCTCAGCAAGTGTCAGCCAGCATGCACACAGCGACGCCAACTCACCTGACCTTTGCTACTTTCTCCGCTTCTAGATTTGTCTCTTGGTCCTTGATCTTCTGCGTGACAATAAGCGTAAACACAGCGTGCGAGCGAGAGCTTGTTTCGTTCATGTTCGTCGCAGCCACAGTCCGTGCCTTGTTGCCTTCATCCATCAGGTTCTCTATTTCTGGGAACGACGCTACCGCCAACTTGCTCAGGTCTTCGACATACGGTCCCAGACTTGGATGTTCTCTGACTTTCAGATTGCCCTTGTTCTTCGGATTCAGCAAGTCTCGAACCTTTTCGTTGTAGATCTCGATGTATGACACTTCCACTGTCACGCGCAGATTCGAATTCGCACCCATCTTGTCCTCTGCCTCTTCAAACAGCTTCGAGCATGTCAAAGGGATGAGCCCCTTCGCTTGCGCGTAGCCCACCATGCTATGGGACTTTCCGGAGCCGGTTTGGCCGCTGCAGTGTTGGAAAGCTCACTATGAGCAGGCATGTATGCACGTTCGACTTGCGGTAGATCTTCACTCACTAAGCAAAGACGCACTGAAAGCCGTGCGCATGGTACGACAGTAAGGGTCAGAAAGGCGGAGCCAAAAGGCGCGCTACCCTACTGCACGCTCGCTCACAGTATTGAATCCATCGAAAGCCTGTTTCAGGACATCCAAGCCTACATACTCGAACAGCTCCTGCTGTTCTGTGTTCTCGTCGTAAGCTCTATCAAACGAGAAGGGCATCGCCTTCTTCTTTGTCGCGCGTGCATTCTCTTTCGAGTCTCCTTCCGATGGAGGGTTGAGTACAAGCTGGGTCTGATCTGTGAAGTCCACCAAGTTGGATGCTCCTCGTGTTCTTTCTCGACTGTTCATAGGTCTACATCGCACCACCACCTTGATGTTACCAGAATCGGACATTGTGAGACCACTTGGAGCGAGACGGAGTCCCAACCTGCTGTGGTCTGCCTAGGATGCACCAAGGGTGGATGATCGACGTCGTGAAAATACTCTAACGAATGCCAAGTCGGACGAGTGTCGGAGCAGTAATGGAGGACCCGCTATCGTACTTGGCGACAGGCCCTAACGAGCCGTCGGATGGTCAAAGCGTAAGGCGAGGAGGATGAAGGAGGGAGGGTTCGCGACTGCTGGCTGAGAGCTGCGAACGCAGACAGAGCGCTGCTATGGTCACGAGTCGACGTTGATGATGAAGGCTTGCGCTGCCGAGCTCGTTTCCTCGAATATCGGGCTGGCGCTTGAGCCTGCTGTACAGGCAGGCGCGCGTGCGTGTTGGTCGATCGTGACTCAGGACTATGCTCAGTGACTCGCGCGCGGGGCGTGCTGCATGGCGCGCTGCAGGCCTATGTATGCGGCGTGTTCCAGAATCGCGTGAACCCACCAGTGGGCCTGTGTTATTATTATTGCCACTTGTTCAGCGCTGCCATGGGCTTTCAAAAGTGCCCTACATGTGTCTTTATTTGGAAGCCTGTGGTCGAAGCTTGGACATCAGGGAGTCGGCAGCCATGCAGAGGCTCCAGCCTGTCAGTTCGGGATCGGTACAGATTGGCCTCCCTTCTGCACCGGCACTCGATCTTGAATCTCACTGTGTAAGAGAAGTCGTGCGTGAGTGAGTGAGTCTGCGAGCCTGAAGGCGTGAGTTTGTGTGTGTCTGGAAGGGGAAAACTTGATCACGTGACGTTTTGGCGCGCTGAGCGGGGTCATCGGAAGCGGGCCAAACGCGCCTGCCGGAGGGCCGACTCATTCATTGACTTTATGACGCTGAAAACGGACTCACGAATTTGGGTGAGTGACCCAACTAACTGCCTTCATTCGAGCATTCTTGTCCGACTCACACTCTCGAATCTTCCTTGCCCTGTCTTGACTCAGTAACCATCACCGACCCGTAGTCGTGAAGGACTCGCAGCTCTGAAGGTTCACTCGAATGTCCAGCCGTGCTCAGCTTTGATCCGAACAGGATCAACTCGTGCGAAGGACCCACTCACGGCGGAAGCGACGACCGTCTCATGGGATGCACCTCTCCGCGCTTACCAACATCTGAGATCTCCGTACTGAGAACGAGAGCCGAGGCAGCATGTCATCGTATCTGCAATCTGTTCGCTCTTTTGCTGAGCGCAGGGCAAGATCTTTAGTGGCTGTCGGTGCCTTCGTCGGCGGGGTGTATGCTCTAGGCACATATGCGATCTCCACACTTGCCGAAGCTCAGAAACGCATGTCAGATGAGAAACGGGACCGAGAAAAGTGGGTGTCGATGTGCTAGATATGTTACAATCGCGCTGAAGCAGTAACTCTTTCCCTGCGCGACCGTGACCTCTTTTCAGTCTGAAGCGACGATTCGCTCAGAATCAGGACGATGTTTGCTTCACAGTCTTGGCGCTGCTGCCGACACTGGCTGATCAGCTTTGGTCGAGCATGGATGTGGAGGGCTTGACAGCAGAGCTACAAAAGAGCAGGGTCGTTGCTACGTCTGCCCCTCTCGCAGCAAAGGAGGAGATTCACCATGCAAATAGCGAGATGCCATCGTACGCTGCAGCGGCGAGCACGACTAAAGTCGAGGGAGACGACTTTGTCGAACCGCAAGCGGAAGGCATACCGGTAGCTCCGACAAGCAACGACGAGGCATCTGCCTCGACATTCCTACATGGGGCAGCAGCGGCACGTACAAGTGACGAGCAGCCTTTGTCCAGCAGCAACGATGGGGTCGAGGGCAACGCTCCAAACGGTAGCCTGTCATACGATGCTGGCTCGGAGGCCACTGATGACGCCGCAGCCTCTGCGCGTCCCACTCTGCTAAAAGGTAACAGTAGCCTCGACTCCATCTCGGAGGTGAGTACCGCTATCCAGTGATCTACCTACGTGTCCCACTCGCGGGCTGCTCGTTGACTCTTTGTCTTTTGGTCAGCCTGCACCCCAGCCTATCAATCCCACCGCCCGTTTGACACCAAGTCCTCAACCGAGCACATCAGCCACACCTCTGAGGTCGCCGCCTTCGGAACAAGAACGGGCGACCGTGCAGAATTCAGGAATCAATGGCCATGCCGGGGCGGTCGCTCAAGCCATCCATGCCAACGAGGCGAGACCGTACGATCTAGAGGGCAGCGCAGGCAAGGCTCCTGTCGTGGGAGGGGAACAGCAGCCGTTTGCCTCACAACAATCGCAGCGTTCGGATGCAGAATTGGAAAAGGCGGCCATGCCTTCGATTGCAGATTCAAAGCCGACCGAGCATGATGGTTCGGAGGCGAGGCGAGCGCACGAGGCGTCTGCTGCACAAGCCGCTTTGTCAGAGGAGCAGAGAAAAGCAGACGCTGCAGCGGAGAAAAAGCTCAAACTCGAGCTATGGAACGAGCTGAAGATCGCTGGTGAGTCGCTTCGCCAAAGGTTGCCATATTAGGATTCGGACTAAAGCACTGCTATCATCATCTGTAGCGATCTCAAGAACGGTTACATCGCTATATGCTCTAGTCCTGCTAACTCTGCAGACCTCGATCCAGCTGAACGTTCTCGGAAGGAGAGCCTACCTCGAATCTGTATCCTCAATGTTTCCCCTGCCGCCAGCACCCAAGAAGGAAGGAGTACCGCACCGCATCTTGTTGGAGCCCGGAGGACAAGGGACCGGGGCTGACGGTTGGGGCAGATTTGATGACGAACATCAGGATTCTGATGACGAGGAAGAGAGCGCGAATGACGAGCGAGCGAAGAAGGGAGCGGAGGAAACCGAGAGGCTCTTTCTCACTTTTAGCTGGTGGTTGCTGCATCGAGGCTGGAAGGACTTGGCCCAGACTGTGGAGACAGCCGTCAAGGATGTGTTTGGCCCGTAAGTGGCGATCCTTTTGGGCGTCAGGGACAACTCGAGCTGATTTCGAACCGTATCCCCACTTGCCAGACTTGGCCTCAAAGCACCGCTTACGCATGGAGAGTTCATTGAGCTGCTTCGCGAGGTCCGTAGCAAGGTCGAGTACGCGGAGAGATCGTCAGAACGCGAAATGAAGGATAGCATCAGCGAGTTGAAAAGCGAGCCCAGTGCCTTTAGCGGTGTCAGCTCTCTGCGAGGTGGCCGCGGCAGGCGGAAAAAGTGAGTGGTCGGCGAGAGTGTGAAGCGTTGGCTAATGTGCTGAGCTGACCTTCTTCGAGCCGTGCTGCGCACAGCTTCTTTTCGATCTTGTTTCCGGCAACGGAAGACGAGGAGATTGACGTGTTGCTGCAGGCAGGAGCGATCGACTATGCTGCCCCCTTGTCTCCCAGTTTGAGGTCACTTCTTGACGAAACGCACGATCTAGTCTCGTCGCGAGACTTTAGATCCGTCATGCGACTCTCTCTCGACCGCGTCTTCAATGTCCTCGACGAATCCTTGAGACCGACGTTTGGCGTGGCTCCTCGAGACGCTCCTAGCAACGTCGTCACCAGCTTGGAAGCTCCTGGCGGACGTTTCCAAGAACTTGGAGAAGTCGACGATGAAGGCAAGCGGATCAGACTCGCCGCTCTATTTCCGGCCGTTGCCAGACAAAGTCAGCTGGCTGTGCACGCTGTTCCAAATTCGTACGCAGACGTGAGTTTGCCTCTCCCCCCCCCCCC